GCTCACATGTGAGCCGATATGGAGGCATCTTGATTAAAAGGTAGAGCCTGCCCTTTGCAAGAACACAATCCAGTGCTCTGCTTTTGAGGGATACTCCATCTGCATACTGGCAAATGAAAGGAGACCAGTAGTATCTCATTGTGCAAAAGGCCATGTATGACTGCAAAACTAATGCCTTCCTCCTAAACTGTCTTGAGACATAAGGTATTCGTGTCTGACTTTTTAATCAAAAGTATGCAAGAGATTAAGTCTCATCACAAACCCTTATGGGTGGGAAGGAGCTAATGCTACTGCACGACACACCAGGGTTCAGACACAGCTGTACTGCTACTGCACGAATGGCATCCTCCACGGAAACCAAACTTTACTGCTCTGATAAACTGCACTACTTAAAAAAAGAAAAAGTCAAAAAATTAAGCACCCTTACCCACCCAATTTCTTGCAATGACTCGTATGTAGAATCAAAGTGCTCTATACCATAAAGCTACTTTGCCCTTCAGTAGAAATGATTTACGTACAGATTATCAACATTTTCTTCCACACCAAAGGAACAGGAATTTAGGTTAATTTAATAGAAAAAATAAAATATGGAATAACATTGATTTTGGCCAGTATCAATTACAACAGAACTACCCTATTTTACAAATAACAACTGAACATTTTACACATGTACAGTAATTTTTCAGTAAAAATGAATTTGGATTTAACAATGTGTCAGTTTTTTTAAAGAAAACAAAGATAGTAATTTCTTCTCTATAATAGCGTTAGAGGCATTTGTAAGTATCCAAACAAATTCTTTACAATCCTTTACATAATTAAATCTCAATTATGAATATATATTTATATATAATATATATAATATTAACTTAAACTTTGAAAGCATTATGTTCTAGTTAATAATTTTATATTGAGAAATGAGGCAGTAACAGACTAGTAGTTAAACTAGCACAAACTGAATTCTCATAACTTTGAATGTTTATCACGAAATTTGTAATGGGCACCAAAGGCGCTTCACAGGCTCTCCTGTCATGCGGAACAAGGTGTAGGTTGTAATAGTTTATCTGCTGTCTGGAAAAGGAGCATATTGTCCCTTATTGGTTCACACCCATTCATTTGTAAACCTTGCACAAGCATTTTTATATATAAAAAGGAGAGCCTCTTTATTTTCTAACATTTATATGCTGAAACGCCAGCAGTCCATTTTCTACTTGTGTGTCCTGGAAAGACAACTGAGAGAGACGCTTGGTACATTTTAAGTATTTTCCCCCCAAAACAGTATCTTTGAAGTTCAATTTGCTGTCTTCTGCTAGCTGAACGGCTTTCAAATAGTATGCTAAGAGAAGCTGATGACCATATATTAAACGGAAATTTGAATGGACAGCTGTGTACCTGGGTACAGAGAGAAACGCAGCGGCCTGCTTCTCCTCTCTCACCTAGACTGGTTTTACAGTGAGGTAACTCCATTGGCTTCTGCAGGGGTTATTCCCGCACATTTGTACTGTCAGTGGTTAAAAGCAGATTCAGGCCCATTATGACAAGATTGTTACACCAAGAAAACCTCTGATTTATTGACCGATATGTAATTACTCCCGGAGACGTATTTGGCACAGCTCGCTTGTAAATCCAGTCCTGTAAACACATCCTGTCACATACAGTCACACTGGCATTTCTGTATCTACATACTTCTGTATGCATAGCCCCATATGTCTGCAGGATCAGGTCCCCTGTTTTGTGAATGTTACAAATCAACAATGATTTATGAATACTCCTTACACGACACCAATGTCTTCCGATTTCCGAGCATTCACGTTACTCTTGCTGATACAAACCAAGAGGAGTAGTAGCTTCTGCATCCGTTCGCAATAGGAACAATGGTGTTATTTTTAAGTTTATTGGAAATAGCTTTGACAATTTAAAAAAATAAAATAAAAATCCTAGCATATCTGTTAATAAGCTAGCTGTCTAAAAATGAGATCTATATGACCAAAAAAAACAACTTGGGCAAAACATATATACATACTGCATGTGATACATAAAACAGCACACAGCAGAGGAAGTAAGAAAGAAATGTGTGCAGAAATGATCACTTTTAATTTTTTTTTTTAAATACTGTTACAAAAGGTGCAGAACTTAGTCCCGCAGCTGATGATGTTTCTGATTCCCTCAGGAATTCATTTCCTCAAGTTCCCCCTATCTCTATATACAGCACAAAAAAAGACTGATGCAAACATTTTTGTATCGTTTAGTTTTAATCCATGTAAAAGTGTGGTGTATTCTTGAAACACTCTTTAAACATCTTGAAGGGGAAACAAGCAGGAAAAAAAGGGAAGAAAAAGGACCTTCAAAAAACAGGAATAATCCTAAGGTTGACAGGAAATCAAATCATGAGTTAAATGTTAATTTTGGCATCAAATGCTTTGGTCACACAATACTGACTCTGTGATCCTGGATGCTTAGCTCTAAACACCCAGTTATGAAAGGTAGGCGTGGTTGTAGTTTTTCCATTTAAGTCCCAACAAACAGTTCACCATCTCCCCAGACAAAGAGGAGGGAGAGAGAGAGAGAGAGGTGGCTTGCTTTTTTTTTTTTTGATTTTTTTTCCTTTTTCAATAATATGGATTAATCTATAAGTCTACAGGAGCAAGAGGACTCTGGGAGGTGTCAGCTCACCCCTTGTGCGTACATGTTCTGCAACACAGTTGCTGAAGCACTTTCCGCTGGCAGAGATTGTTCTTTTTCACCAGCATACAGAATCCGCCCTCGGCCCAAGACTCTTCCGTGGCTTCCGGAGGGCGGCAGTAAGAGAATGAGGGGAAGTTGCAGATTTGGAGAGCATGGTGTGGACAATGGAGGAAGGTTTAATTGGTCAGACAGGCAGATTTGGTTGAAGAGACCATTCAGGAGCAGGTAGCAAGGAGGAAATTTGGTCCATCAAAAGGAATTTCAGTCAACAGCATTTTTTTTTTTTTCAGGAAGAGATATTGTGTGGTCCGACAGGGAATGATTGGTATCCATTTGTGAAAGGGAAAAAAAAGATTAGAAAGAGAATAATTAGAAAACAGTGATATTTACAGCAAAGGAATTTTTTCTCAGTTTTTATGAATCAAAAGAATAAAACAGTCAAATCACAGAAAAAGATTAAAACATTCTCAACAGAAATGCAAACCCTACAGAACAGGTTGGACACGTAACCAGTGCTCCGTTGTCAGGCAGTGAAATGAGACCCTCTGCGCGTGGTAATTTATGGAAAAAAAGACTTATTTTCCTCAGCCACTCTAGACTATGGAGAACATGTGCCACGTAGCGGGCTGTAGTGTAGTGCTTCCTTGCCATGACAACTGGGCAGGGCAGAGACAAGGAAACAGTAGTGAGATGGGGCGTTCTCAGCCTTGGGCAGCTACCCATGGATCCAAAGTGAATTCTCCAGGCTCATGAGCGGAGAAGTACTGCTGGGTGGCACAATTTACATACAGCCTCTCTGTCTTGGATACATTAATAAAAATGTTCAGTGCACAGGACCTCCTCAGAGATCTCAGCTCTGCTCAAGATTAAGTAGTTTTGTAAGACATCCGTGAACCCTACTTCTGTGCATTTTACTCTAACGTTGCTTCCCAGCTAAATTCATGTCCATGAATAGTACGTATGCTGGAGAAAAAGCAGAGCATTGGTTTGTATGTGGAAAAAAAAGCATTATCTGAAGCTTCAAAGATAAAGGTTGGAATTTCAGGCACATGAAATTCCTTTGCCTGAGCTCTTTCCGCTCTACATAAATAAAGAAAGTAGCTTCCACCCTCAGTGATCTTCCTCCTGCAAACTCTCTGGAGTTGCACATGTACAGATGAGGATGGACTTGACGTTGCATGTGTACAGATGAGGATGGCTTTATCCTAGCATACTGAAGATCAAACTGATACATCAGAAATTTGCACTGCAGCATTGAACTGCAGTATAATACTGAGACAGTGATTACCCAGAGCTCGTAATGTTAAACTTCTTTTCATTTCTCCAAGTATACCTTACCTTCTCTGGACTAGCACTAGATTACAATAACGCTTTTTTCTAATATTCTGATATGAAAAGGTCTCATGATTGGTTTACTTTGGCACCTGCAACGTGACTTTACACTGGATAGCATATTTTTCAAACTTAGAAGGCCTAAAAGCCTACAGGGACTGTAAAGGCCCACAGAACCAAGACTTTATCCTGCTCTTTCTAATATTGTTGGTTTTTTTAATCTTTGATAAAATTCTTACTGAACCCAGCTGGAGTGGCCTGGACCAAGAGTCATTGTCAGCTTTTACCACATTTCATGCTGGCTATATTTCACACTGTTTTACAGGCTTTGTTCTGGTATGAGTTTACTGTCGGACTGCATCTGTTGGACTGTACCTATAAGTAATTCAAATAGTAATGTTTTTAGAGAAGCATGCCATTATCTAAGTGTCTGTGTAACTGCTCTTCTAAAGGAATGAATAATAGTGAATAAGTAAGTCAATCATATGCAGTAAGAATGGTACCTTGGTTGCCTCAGGAAAAGTTCAAGTTTCCATCACAAATTGGGTTCCACCTATTCAAAAGGATATTTTTTCCTCTTGCTACCTCTTCACATAATTCAAGTAATATTATGGGTACTTAAAAGCCTTTTAGTTATCAGCATATTCACAGTTTAAAGTGGCAAAACAGATAAACGTGATTCTATTGAGAGTATACTAAGGTCTTCACATAAAAATTCATTTGAAAGTAATGGCTTTTGAAAAACAGATAAAGAGGGAAAAGTAGGTTCTAGAGAGGGACAATTCAGGTAAAGTGGATGTGACTAATCCTATTAATACACATTCATGTAGTTTTCTCCTCTTCATAAACCCCAAAACATTAAGAAATAACGTTGACCTAAGATCAAGGATGTAACAAAGGAGAAGAAAGAGACTGAACCAACCCAATAAACATAAAAGAAGAAGCTGGCAGTGGCAAAAGGGATCTTTTCAAAGAGCTACACTCACCATCCTTGCACACTGTTCCCACTACGCAGACACCAGTGTCTAGGTTATAGCCGCTCGGACAGCTCGTGCAGTTCCGGTCTCCCTGGCCACTGCATTCCACGCAGCTGGCATCACATCTGGAAGAGAGTGCCAGAGGTTGGCCTTAGCGCTGCTCACCAAATGCAAGTGGTCCTAAGACACCTCTTGGGTAGTGCAAAGGGCTTTGTTGTTTCCAACTGTATCAGCTGGTTTAATTAAAAAAAAAAAAATTTTAAACCCCTCCCCCTGCCAGCCAGTCCTGCTTCTTCCCTCTAATCAATCTTCATTCATACATTCTTACTTTTTTATTAAATAGCTGAATTATTCTAACATCTCGGAACTATGCAGAAGTAACCAACAAAGGTGTTAAATTGATCGTGTACCCATGTGCTAGCAAGGGACAAGCTCAAAACCACAGAAAAGGAAAAGATTGACCTGCTGCCCAGCTCTTTCATCACCCTTCAGGCTGCATCATATTTTGTGCACTGATTGTTTTTTTTTGTGGAAAACTGTAACACATGGTGATCCCCTCCAGTCCTGAACTCAATGCAAGTTAATAATAAATGATTCCAAAGGGCCTGTGGTATTTGTTTAACAAAGAATAGAATAGAAAAAAAAATGTCCATTCTTTTTATAGCACAAACCTGTTTAAGACTTTTTTGTATACTGAGTCAGATATGCTATTATTTTGGACAGTCGTCTGATATTATATTTGTGTCATGTCTGTGTTTGTGCTGCTGAAATAGCTCTTATGAATAGCAATTAAGTCGTGAACAAAAATCCTTGTTTGACTTTTTTAGTTTGTTGAGAAGCATAGCTCCTCTGCTAGATCTGTAAAGTCTACATTTCTCTGCATGTTTATTCAGACTCTCACCACAGGCTTTCAAAAGCAAAGGACACACACATATGCACAAGAAAATACATTTGAAAAAGATCTGCATGAATATAATTCACATTAAATTAAGCATGCAACATTTTTTGAAGTCAGCAGTGTTTCATGTTCTCATAATTGTTATTTTTCTTACACAATAATAACTAACATGCTGCCAAACATTAGACACATATTAGCCAATCAAGAACCTTCATACCTTTTGCAGGTTTTATATCCACTTTCAGTAGAGTGATCAAGGTAATAACCACTACTACAGGATTGCACACATCTTCCATCTTCCATAAAATAGCCCTGTGTGCAGTTTATACAAGAATCTACTCCAGCACCTTAAACGAGAAAAAAATACACTGGCTACACACTACTGGCTAGGTCCTACCATTGCCTAACTGTAACAAAAGTTTATCACAGTCTTAGAGGCCACATTTTATTTGTCTTATGTCCTTTCTGCTGCCATGTATTGCAAATACTAACACCAAACAAAATAGATATGTCTAGAATTACATTACATTACCTAATTTCATTATGTCTTTTTCTGAAAGAAATGGATATTGGCAGTTCTAAAGCTGCCACAAAATCTGTCAATTATTCCTTCTTTCCAGAAAGACAATGGAGGGCATAATTAGAAATTAGAATGAGCTCCATTAAAAGCAAACAAATGAGTGTATGTGCACTTTCAACTAGAAAGCTTAGATTTTCATGTTAGCTGAGAGAATATACTGAAGGGCTACCAAGAGAATTAAAGTTTTACATGTCAACAGTTATGCTGTACTGGAACCATGATAGAGTAAAATTAAATCTGAGGAAATAATATAAAGGAAACAAAAAGATACAGATGAATGTCAATGAAGTACCTGCACACGTCGCACAGGAACGATGGCACGGTTCACATTCCTTACCATTATGGTATTTTCCTTCTTCACAGCGGATAGCACATTTGGAGCCATGCAAACTATTGTAAAAAGGAAGAAAGCACAGTGTTTGAGCCTGAAGCAGATAACAGCAACAGAGGACATCAAGTTCATTCACAAGCCAGTAATTCTCTTTAAATAAAAGAACAAGAAATTATTAGTGTTCACCAACTTCCTTCACTGCTCGTGTTTTATAAATTTAGAGATAGCAATCACTTCAAGTGGGAATGAAATGCAGTATTGCCTATGGTGAAGTACAGCAGCAGTTTACAAACCCCTAGTAAAGTCACAGAGGACAGAAGAGAAATGAACAGTGCCAAAGAGCACTGAAAATTGAGGCATGTAAAACACAATGGCCCATGAAGAATTGGGCATAAGGTCAGCATCACTGCATTAAAAAAAAATGCTGAGGGACTCGTTAACAAGATTGCATGCTTCTCTTGAAAGACCAGCAGCATCTCCTGATACCATGCTACAGCACAACCTAAGAATAGATTCACAATGCAGGAAATCACCATCTCTTTCTGCAATAGCAGTTTGCTTTCACATCTCCAAACTGAATACCAGTTCTGCGTAGCTTGGGAGATTTGTCAAGATTACAGCCAGAGGTATTCTGCCTGCAGGCGCTGTTGAGTGATAGTGCAAAACAGCGAGTACCAGAGAAAAAAGGAACAGCATAAGGAGTCACATTTCCATGCTTCTCTCTAAGTAGCTGTTTACACTTTCATGTCAAAAAGTCTTGCTCTAGGCATCTTGTAAGCTATGGCTTCTCTGATATGTTTGCCATCTTCTGCAGAATGTCAGCTTTCACCCAATTAAACCATTTCTCTAAAAATGCTCTGCACCTCTAGGGAGTGCCACCAAAAGTGAGTATTAATCCTGTTTTACATGTTGGATCCAGCAAAAGTTGTGTGTGCTCAGCACCACTGGAAATTTTCAAGCAGCATATGGTCCGAATATGGAAAAAAAGTTCTTACATTAATGGTTCAACAAATGTCGTAATACCTGCCAACTTATTATTTTTTCCTCAGTCATGCATTCAAAGTGCTTTACAAGGCAGGTAGCATTATCATCTTTTTACAGATGGGAAAAGGGCAGGCTAATATGGGTGACACAGTTGTGGGGGTTTACTACAGGCCACCTGATCAGGAAGAAGTCATCGATGAGGCCTTCTACAGACAGCTGGAAGTAGCCTCACGATCACAGGCCCTGGTTCTCATGGGGGACTTCAACCCCCCTGACATCTGCTGGGAAGACAACACAGCTAGATACAAACAGTCAAAGAGGTTCCTGCAGAGCATTGAGGATAATTTCTGGACCCAGGTGGTGGAGACGCCAACGAGGAGAGGTGTGCTGCTAGACCTTGTACTAACAAACAAAGAAGGTCTAGTTGGAGAGGTGAAGGTTGGGGGCAGCCTTGGCTGCAGTGACCATGAGATGGTGGAGGTCAGGATCCTACGAGGAGGGAGCAGGGCAATAAGTAGGATCGCAACCTTGGACTTCAGGAGAGCAGACTTTGGCCTCTTGAGGGACCTCCTTGGAGGAATCTCAGGGGGTAGGGCCCTAGAAGAAAGGGGGGTCCAGGAGAGCTGGTTAATATTCAAGTATCACCTCCTCCAAGCTCAAGAGCAGTGCATCCCTCTGAGGAAGAAGTCCAGCAAAGCAGACAGGAGACCTGCATGGATGAGCAAGGAACT